AGAGTCAGCTCCAGATATGAACTCAATATCATTCCCTAGACTGCTATGCAAGTGCTGTTTGGATTAAGTATTACTACTTTGTGTTTGATGGGAGCAGTATTGTTAATGTACTGGTGACAAGCAATCCTGAAAATTCATGGCTGCAAAAAATATTTCCACTACCTCTAGAGGAGCATCCTGAAAATCCTTGGTTGTAAAAGGATAAGAAACAGACCCAAGGTTAGATGGTCTATATTCTGTGCTAGAAGTTAGTTACTTTGGGACTCCTCTCATCCCAATGTACATGATCATACTCTACATGGACAGACTGTTCTCTCTTGGTAGTTTATCCCCTTCTTATTCCACATAATATAGGGTAAACACAACAGCTGAAAGAAGAAATGTCCTTATTTTGGCTTAAATACAGACTAACATGGCTGTTACTCTGACAGCTTTAAGAACACAGGACTGTTCAGGAAGCTGCAAGTGTAACCCACACACCTCCTGGGTGTGGTGTTCTGTCCCATTTGGTGGCACCAAGACCACTTAGAGCAGGGGTGGGCAAACTTTTTGGCCTGAGGGCCACATCGGGGCTCCAAAACTGTATGGAGGGCCGGGGAGGGAAGGCTGTGCCTCCTCAAACAGCCTGGTCCCCGCCCCCTATCCTCTTGGTCATTGTGGGACAGCTACTGAAGCAGTGTTAGGGTAGCGTGTAAGATAAGAATAAGGATAATGACACCTGAAGATCTGCCCCACTGTCTGCTAAACCAAGATGATGAGGCAAAACCTGGCATATTTGATTGAGGAGGACATGAAGCTCTTTAGCAGCCTAACTCCATTAGTTTTTTTTCTCTGAAACTGCTCAGCACTTTTTTCACTTTAATTTGTTCATGAGGAGTTTGCTGACAAGAATGAATGAAGTAAGAGCATCAGCTGTCCCTGGATCAGTTTTCTTTCTGATAAAATGCCTGTATCACTCCTGCTTTGAATGAAAACCTATCATCTCTCCCTTTTCTGCTTGGTTAGATATTTGCCTGAGCTGTGGAGTTCAGATCCAGACCCAAATCTGAATTTTCCCAAAGTCTGGGGTGTTCAATTTCAGTGCCCTTTTCACAGGTCCCTTACAGAGATATGCCTCAGGCATGACAGCATCCAGAACCAGAAACCATTCAGATTCCACAACAAGAGGTAATGTATAAAAGCATAGATAGATCATCAAAATTCATGAAGAGGATGGGTGCATCTAGTGTTCTTGTCCTGACTCATCCCTAGGTCTGGTGAAATTTTTTTAACAGCCCTATTAATAATAATATCTTACATTTAGATAGTATCTCTCATCCTGAAGTTGCCAAAAGCCTTTATGAACTATATACATGCACCAATCAATCAATTGATGCAACCACCTTTGAGATGAGAAGCACCAAACGGACAATTTGCACACAGGAATAAATGAGGGAGGAAATAAAATATTGCCTAATTGGTGAGCAGAGGAAAGTAAGCTGCCAGGAGATCCTGAATGTCCATGTCTATGAAAAGAATTAGAAGTAAGTGAAGAAAACATAGCTTGTTGAATGTTTGAATTTGAATTACCCCCGTACTTTCCTGAAATATATATGGCTATCTTCCAGGAACTGACAAAATACAATTCCTCTGGTCTGGTCAAGCTGTACTTGGCACAGGACCCAAAGGAGGGAATAACAAAAGTGGCTTTTTGTTGCTTCTCAATTGTGGGGCTGGCTGGGGATGCTTCGGACCTCAGCACAACTCTAAGAAGCTTCAGAGCTGCTCTAAATTGCCTGTGGTCTCCAAAGCTGTACTGGCAGCCATAATCACGGAGGTATAGCAATACATTGGCCATGGGAATAACCTTTACAGTTAGCACTGGGGGCGGGGGGGCGCGTAGTGTAGAACCGGTGTAGTGGTTCTACAGCACCCTGGAGGTTTTCTCTACATGGAAAAACTCATTTGGCCAATAAAGTTGAATTCACAGTCCCTCTGTGCCAGTAAAGCAGTACAAATGAGCCAGTGGGGCTATGAATCTGTCCTTCTGTCTCTTAGAGCAAGATTCTTCTGTTCTATTATTACACACCCACTTTATGGAAATATTTTTTCATTAATATTCACTGAGCACCGCCTGCTTTGCTTATAAATCCAAACACAAGTCAAGAGACATCTGTTTAATATAAGTCAGCACTTACAGGTTTGTGTGATTATATCTGATCTGTTTGATCTACCATGTCAGCACTGTTTGTTAACTGTAATTTTATCTGATGTGGAAAACTCTAGAATGCTTGCAAAAAGAAATCTCTCTATATATGCATTCCATTACATTGTAAAATAACAATTACTGTATGCTATGTTTTATTTCCTTTCTACACACAACAGCTCACTTTCCTGGGGAGTCCTCTAAGTAAGGGGAAATACTGGAAAGGTATGTTTGATTAAACATACCAACATTTGTAAAACAAATCCTCATTGGGTTTTTTTTTGGGGGGGGGGAGGGGGCGGGGCTTGACATGGGAGTACAAGAACTATATTTAATCATCCGGCAGCTAAAATTTACAGGATAAAGAAATCTTGGACACCACAAGGGTTACCTTGTGGGGTTTCCTCTGTATACTACCCCCCAGGAGCAAGGAATTTTGGAGCTCTTGAGGAGGCACCGGGCCCGGTCTCCAAACTCTGTGGATCAGTACTAGGAAAGGAAGCTGCAACCCATGGTGTGCTATACCTTCCATTGTGATAGCTGAGAACTGCTCCCTCTCTGTTGCCATTGCCTTCTCTGCCTGCATCTATGCCACCCCTTCCCCTCTCCAATGGGGCTGCTGACATAGTGCAGGTTGGACAGTGTTAACTCCTATAAGCGTATTTTCCCTGATATCCTCTTGGTTCTGAGGGAAGCATACATAAATTTGTGGTCCACAACAAAACTCCTATTCATTTTAACGGTACAGGATCAGGCCATTTATGTCTGTAGATTATTTTTATTTTATAAATCAGCACTGCCAGTCCTTAGACTTCAGGCAGCACCTGAAAGTGACAAAGGGAGGTCCTTCTCAGAGGCTTGCTACAGTGCAATCTATTGATCCCACTTGGTGGGATGAAAAAAATCAGAAGCAAATGTTCTGTAATTTAAAACCTTGTAATTTATTTCCCCAATTTGACATCTGTTGCATATAAACAGGAGCAGAAATGGAAACACAGAGCTCCAACTCTCAGCTATTGCCGACTGGTTTCTGATTCTTCATCCATGGAAAGAAACACTGGAATGGCAAACATAAGGTTAGGATTTTAAATGAGGAATTAATGAAAATGCTTCTTACTTTGTTGCCGCCCTTAATGTAGTTTCCATGGAAACAGGACTGGAAAGGCTGCCTGTAGCATATAGCTGGGAAGGAAATCTCTGCCTTGTCAGTTTCAGCTCTGAGCGGGTGATATTGCCAGATTTTTTTCCCTACTGTTTTTAGCACCTTAAATGAGAACAATGATTTCTCACAGGGCAATTTAGGTAACAATCATGATTTGGCCAGTTATGTTGGTTACTTGTGCACTTGGCCTATTTAATTCCTCTTTTTAAATTTTTACATTTGTTTGGTAGTGTCAGTAATGTATATTAGAACTATTGACTCATGACACCAGATTATTGAAAATGTCACTTGAGTTGAAGACGTTCATTCCATGTCATTTTTAAGTAGCGGCAGGTGCAGTCTGAGCATATGGCATGAGCTAGACACAACTCTGCCATTCATTCGCTTTTTGATGAATCACACTGGGCCTGGTGTTGAAAGGCACTGAGCTCTTCCTACCTTCTTGTGCTCATCACTTCACCTCAGTCCCTAAGCCTCAATTAACAATCATCTGTAAATCCTGCCGCTTGCAGAACTTCGAGATGCTAAATATCCTCCCCACTGAGTTCAAATAAGAGTGTCCACACAAAGATTTGCACCGAAATAACTAAAAGTGGGAATTACAAATAACTTAGTTGTTAGGGTTCTAGTTTCCAGGGAGACAAGCCCTGCATTTCACTTTCAGGCTTTTAGAGTTGCAATGCTGGGGTTTCAAACACAGCAGTGGGTGATTCTTTGTTTAAATATACGTGTACCTAGTGAGGTTTTACTTTAATTTGGGGAACTGTCACCAAAGTGTTCTAGTAAAAGCTTGCTTTTAACGTGAATTTTGGGCCAAATCTGAGTTGACAGTTCGAGCCTGCTTCCACAGTCCTGCCCATGTTCTGGGGATGCTGTGAAGTAGCTGACTTTTACACTATTGACGTAAGGGTGACCAGATGTCCCGATTTTATAGGGACAGTCGTGATTTTTGCGCCTTTTTCTTATATAGGCTCCTATTACCCCCTATCTCCTGTCCCCATTTTTCACATTTGCTGTCTGGTCCCCCTAACTGATGTTAACCATTATTGATTAAAACGGCATGCATCTGACTTCCTCCTGCTGGAATGGCTACCTCGGCATTTCTATAACCCTTGCTTAGTTTGTGCCCGGGCACCTCTAGGTGTGGCACTTCATATCCCACCACCGCTGGGTGGCCACATCAGTTATGAAAGTAAACCATTGCTTCAGCCCTGGCACCCCTTTCATTACAAATTAAGCACCGTCTATAACCCAACTCGTCCAGGGGCCTCTCACTCAATCCGCCAGGGGCAAGGCCAGTGCCTGCTTTTCACCTCCTCCCTCCCCGGGCAGCTCGGGTGGCGTCAAACCCGGCGCTAGGGCTTACTGCAGCTCGCCGGGCCTCCCCGCTCCAGGTGCGGCCCGCAGCGAGGGAAACACCCAGGCGGCCGCGGCCGCCGCGCGGTGTCAGTCACCACAGGGCCCCTGGCTCGGCCCCTGTTACTGCCCCACCCCTACGCCTGCCAGAGGAAGCGCGAGGGACCAGGTCCCGCAGCGCGGGAGCCCACGCGCTTCCCTCTTCGCCCTTTCCCGGGGGAGGCGAGGAACGCTCTCCTCGCTCCGCTTTACCGCGGAAGTTTGGCAGCCTGGGGCCGCCGTAGACGGGTGAGCTGCTGATTGTTGTCCGGGTGGATGCAATCGCCGTGGTGGGTGCGGGCGCCTCGAGCTCGTTCGGCGTGTCCCTGCGTCCCCGTCCGCGTCCCCCGCCCGGGCCCGGGCAGCCATGAGTGAGCGGGGGGAGCTGGACCTGACCGGGGCCAAGCAGAACACGGGCATGTGGCTGGTGAAGGTGAGAGGCCGCCCGGGCCCGGCTAGCGACTCATCCTGTCCCCCCGCGAGGGAGGCCCCGCCACGGGCTGGGGCGGCTCCTTCCCTCCCCGGGGCCAAGACCCGGGCTCGCCTCGAGACTACGCCGGGGCGGGAATCCCTGCGGCGGGGGCGGGGTTCCCCGTGGGGGCGGCGAGGGGAAGGTATGTGGGGGCGGGGATCCTCGTGGGCCGGGGCGGAGCGGGGGAGAGATTCATCTGGGGGGCCCGAGGAAGCGGGATGAAGGGCGGGGGAGGGGGGTGGCAGCAGTTCCCTGGTTCTCTGGCTTTTGGGGGGGTGGGCGGAGTGACTTTCCCACTCCCCTTGGCGGCCTCTACGGTCTCCGCAGGAAAGCAGGGGCTCGTCTGGTTTCCCTGGAGCTGCGGAGACCTCGGCGGGCAGGTCCCACGGCTGCTCTCTGCTCTGCCAGCACCGTGCCCAGAGAGCTGCGAGACTCCAGCCCCTTCAGTGGCTGTGTGTTACCATACACACTGTAACCAGAGTGATCAGCTAAGGTGAGCTATTACCAGCAGGAGAGGGAAAAAAAAAACCTTTTGTAGCGATGATCAAGGCGGGCCGTTTCCAGCAGTTGACAAGAACGTGTGAGGAACGGGGGGTGGGGAAATAAATCTGGGGAAATAGTTTTACTTTGTGTAATGACACATACACTCCCAGTCTTTATTCAAGCCTAATTTAATGGTGTCCAGTTTGCAAATTAATTCCAATTCATCAGTCTCTCACTGGAGTCTGTTTTTGAAGTTGTTTGTTGTTCTATTGCGACTTTTAGGTCTGTACGATTACATTAGGCTTGAATAAAGACTGGGAGTGGATGTGTCATTACACAAAGTAAACCCCCCACCCCGTCCCCCCAGTTCCTCACAAGTTCTTGTCAACTGCTGGAAATGGCCCACCTTGACTATCACTACAAAAGGTTTTTTTTCTCTCCTGCTGGTAATAGCTCACCTTACTTGATCACTCTTGTTACAGTGTGTATGGTAACACCCATTGTTTCATGCTCTCTGTGTATATAAAATCTCCCTACTGTTTTTTCCACTGTATGCATCCGATAAAGTGAGCTGTAGCTCACGAAAGCTTATGTTCAAATAAATTGGTTAGTCTCTAAGGTGCCACAAGTACTCCTTTTCTTTTTGCGGATACAGACTAACACAGCTGCTACTCTGAAACCTACAATTAGTTGGGCATTTTTACCACTGTGTAATCACAGGCTAGATGATACAATGGTAAAAACATGTAAATTCTGCCCAAGTTAAATTTTTTACCATTAACATAAGAACATAAGAATGGCCATACTGGGTCAGATCAAAGGTCCATCCAGCCCAGCATTCTGTCCACCGACAGTGGCTAATGCCAGGTGCCCCAGAGGGAGTGGATCTAACAGGTAATGATCAAGTGATCTCACTCCTGCCATCATCTCCACCGTCTGACAAAGAGGTTAGGGACACCATTGCCGCAACACTTGTGAATTACAGCTATAAAGTTTGCTAGTGTAAAAGGGTTATGCATGGTTTTCCCCTGCTGTCCTGGTTTAAAATCCAATTCAGACCCGAAGGAGAGATAGCAGACCTGCTTCAGGTCTGAACTGGAATTTTAAACCAGGGCAAACTTTTGTAAGTAGGTTTCAGAGGAACAGCCGTGTTAGTCAGTATTCGCAAAAAGAAAAGGAGTACTTGTGGCACCTTAGAGACTAACCAATTTATTTGAGCATGAGCTTTCGTGAGCTACAGCTCAGCTCACGAAAGCTCATGCTCAAATAAATTGGTTAGTCTCTAAGGTGCCACAAGTACTCCTTTTCTTTTTGTAAGTAGGTCCCCCAACATGTTAAGAATAACAACATAGATGGGACTTAATCAGTTTTGCTACAATAATATGATCATTTGGTGGATTTAATTAAAAAAAAAAAAGACTTCTCTTTAAACAATAGAATGTTTTGTGTAGTGCTGCTTTACCACAACAGTTCACAACACGATTTCCCTGGCTAATGAAGAGCAGGCATAACAATGTTGAAATTGTTAATTAATTTCTGGGGAAAAGACTTGCTGGAAAAACAGTTCTGGCTAACCTGGTTTCCCTTTAGAATGTGTGGAGCTAATATAGAAAGTATCCCAGAGAGAGACAACTTAATAGGCAATAATAGCCCAGATATTACAGTGGTGGGTGCTTTAGGAATATATGCAATAAAAGTAAGTACAACTAAGGCTGTGAGGTTTCAGAGTGCAAAATATAGAAAAGTAGGTTGTGCTAATTAGGGAGTATTTTATTTTGAAATGGTATTGCTTTATGTCATCTCTTTTCCCACATGGTCATGTTACAAATTGTGAGGGAAAAGTATTATCCCTACCTACACAGCCAAGAATAAAGACCATGTCTCTAGAATCTTAAGTATTTTATATATGTTTTGTTCAGATGCTGTGAGTTCATTCGTGGCCTCGGGTCAGACCTTAACTGGGGAATCCCTTTTCCAAAATCCAAGTTAAAATTATTTGAATTCTGTTTTTGTTTATAGAAACAAATTGCAATGTTTCCATACACTATATTCGGGATTGTTAAAGGATTTTTGAAAACTGATCCTCCTAATTGTTCTTGCTAAAATTAAAAGAAATCTGCCATAGTGGGTGTTTTATTGTGTAAAACATTTCCTGTCTTCCTGTAGATTGCATAATCCCATCCACTATACAACTACAGATTTAGCTGGGTGAAGTGAGGCCCTACACTTAATGGCATCTTTTTTTTGTTCTGTGTGTAACGTGACAACTTTTGAACATGTTGTATCAATTCCAAAATTTCAGAGAATGTTCTGAACAGCAATAGGCAGAACCCTGTTGAGGTTGGTGAAAATGTTAATCTGGAAAAGCTTGATTTCTGCCGGTATAAGTGAGGGAAAATCAGGCTCACCAAGTGCCTGATTGGTGCTGCAGGCAGATAAATCTTACTGATGCCCCCTGATACTGCCTATACATCACAGGTTGTGGCTTAATATTATTATTTAATATTTGTATTCCATAGCACCTACGAGCCATAGTCATGGATCAGGATCCCATTGTGTTGGGTGCTTCTCTCTCTCATTGGGTGTGCAGCTCTTCCTACATAAGCAACAAAGTAGGCAGTCCTTTAGTTGTATATACTTTCAACAGTGGCTATAAATGCAAATATGGAATGACTTTACTGTACTAGTAAAACCCTAGAAAGTGATTGCTACAAAACTAAAAATAAAAGTGGATTTGCTGGAGTTTCTGATGCATTGTGAGTGTCAAAAGAAGAGCATAAAAAGAACATTGTACATCAACGCTTTTTTAGTGTATGGCTTTGGGGTTAGTAAAACGTGACTTCCTTTTTTGTTCCACAAGTCAGTCAGATGTCCTGTTAAGTGTTAAGGCTGCAATATGTAATCACCTCTTTTAGTTTCATTTAAGTCATACATCTTAGGCTATGCTTGGTAGGTTTTGGAAAGTTTAAATATGATCAGTTTTTGGTGCTGACTTCTTCTGTTTGCCTTCCCTAGCAAAGAAATACACTGGAGATTAATATTTTGATTGTTGTAAAGAAAGCAATACAAAAAAGATGTTATTTTTTTAAATTAAAAAAAAAAACAATAATAAAATCTTGGATATAAGTATCTGTTGCATAGTTACCTGAATTTCTTTTTCTTTCTTTCTTTCTTTCTTTCTTTCTTTCTTTCTTTTTTTTTAGGTCCCCAAGTACTTGTCACAACAATGGACTAAAGCTTCAGGAAGGGGTGAAGTAGGGAAGCTGAGGATTGCCAAGTAAGTAGTTCACCATACTTTTTTTTGGTAGGATTTCTTAGAATTATTACAGAAGTAGAAAAAGTTATGTTTAGTGTACAGTAGTGTATTGCAGTGAAGTACTACTTATATTGCATAATATTTATTGAAAGTACAAGTTGGGTTTATTTCTATGAAATTAATAAGCTTGAAATATAGCTGCCTAGTGATTATCATTGTATATTCTAAACAATATGAATACAAAATATTATACTGGTGTGTGTGGATATATTTTAGAACCCCATTTCTGATTTCATAGACATCGGCAATAGGCCCATCTAAATAAAGAATCTCCATCAATTTATTTATATGCTATTGTGTTGCTTCTATTTGCTCCTGCTGATTTTCCCATTTGTCCTTGGGTAGCTCAGGAGTGAAGACAGTAACAAAGCTAGAATTTGAGGTTGCTGCTGTTATCAGAGGAGCCAAACCTGTGAAATTAGATTATGGAAACTAAAATATTATATATTTTCTTTTACAGAAATCAAGGAAGAACAGAAGTAAGTAATTACCAAATCCAAAGGCTATCAATGTGTTATATTTTGAACTTTAGTGTTGCTTAAAGTAGTGTACATTTCTCTTATAGTACTTGTAATAGAGCACTGGACTGGGAGTTGGGAGATCTGGGGGATTGGCTCTGTCACTGGCCTACGGCGTGACCTTGGGCAAGCCACGTATCGCTTCATGCCTCAGTTTCCCCATTTGTAAAATGAGGATAATGATGCTAATATCCTTTGTAAAGCGCTTTGAGATCTACTGATGAGAAGTGCTATATAAGAGCTAGGTATTAATATTAAGCAGAAAAAGTTGGAAACAAAGGAGTAAGAGTTCAGAAATATACCATATCATATTTGGTATTAATTCATTAGTTTTGTTAAATATAAAGTATTAGGGAATTTGAGTCTTTTTGCAGTCTTTTCATCTGCAAAGGCAGTTGATTAATTTCTTTTATTAGCAATTGAATGAATAATAGCTTTACCAGGTATTTTACCTTTCATGTTAGATGGGAAGGTAGCAGCATGATTCAGTAAACCCCAGAGCCAACCAACACATTGAATTGGAAGAGACTTAACAAAAATTCAGCAGTGGGGAAAAGCTGAATATACCATCTTAAAGTCTGATTTAACTCTCATTGGAATACGTGGAGAGACTCCAGTTGTCTTTGGGATTTGTTCAGGCTCATAGCTGGCTGTAATATATGCTGCTGACACTTTCTCAAAAGTGAAGGTAGCTGTGTGAAACGTTTAAAATATCTACATTGAAAGGTATAACTATCTTAGGTTCTCAAACATTTTTAAAAATAATGAAATGCAATTAATTGTTCTCTGACATCAAGAGGAGATAATAAAAATCTGTTGAGTAAATTGTATAAATAATCCTATGTGAAAATGTTGAATAAAATATTTCAGAAGATTAGTATATTAAAAATTAGATCCCCGATGTATATTTGAACAATTCAAAATTGTATTGTACTATTTCATTTTTCTTTCGTTTCCTGTTTCCTAAGCTCTAAAATCTATGTAGTTAAAAGGTCTATGTACTAATATTATGTTCATTGTGGGTGTTAGGTATCATTTACTTTGAATGAAGATCTTGCAAGTATCAGTGATATTGGAGGAAAACCTGCTTCAGTCAGTGCACCCAGAGAACATCCATTTCTTTTGCAAAGTGTGGGAGGACAGACGTTAACAGTGTTTACAGAAAGCTCAGCAGGTAAGTTAGAATGAAAATTATTTGTTAATATAATTCCTGTCATGCATGTTTGCGTAGATTCATAATCTCAGCATGATAGTTGGTTAAAAGGACACCATCAAACTGACGGATCTAAAATAAAGACCTTTCAGCTTTGTTTTATGGTCACATGCATGCACATAACACTTCATTCTAGTTGACTAAGAGCCTGAAATGTCTCCAGAAAGGATTGTATTGTACATTCCAATACCAGCCTGCTGAACAGCTCAGAGAGGAAGAATGGAGTACAGTACAAAACCTTTGGGTTTCATCACAACTTGTGCTTCTGATAGGATGACCCAGCAGAAAACTGCTGCTTTGTTCAACACTTCTTTTGGAGGAAAGGATAGATTTGTCAGGAATCTAGCTACAGTGTGATGAAAATCAATTTTGAATTATGTTCATTTTTTTCTATCAGTCTTGATATAGTGTCTTGTTGACCAGTGAATATTAACGGTTATTCATCGAACTTTCCAGTTGTTTACTTTGTCAGAAAGTGTAATAGTAGTGTGGTATTTGGCACGCAGGAAAAATAACTGTATTTTTGTCTATTGGATTCAAATTCCTTGACCTACATTATGTGTAGGTCACTGATATTACAGTAGCAATACATGGTAAGTGTGGGACATTTTCAGGATACCACGTTCTATGAGCATGTTAGGCCTAAATTATATGATGGAAACATCAAAATTATGATATGCCCTCCCTTTCACTGCTCTCCTTCCTCTTGTGGAATAGTCAGTATATTTTCCCTTTGCTGGTTGGCTGTTCTGATACTAAATTAATGTTCTGTAGTCCCCAAACTTTGTGTGCTGCAGATTTATATACTGTAAATGTATGGCAGCATCATAGAAAATAAGGCGGGGGAAAAGAGAGATTGGATGCCTTGAAAGCTTAGTATAAGATACTAAGGCATCTTGGAATGTTTGGGAGTCCCCATCAGGCAAATAAAGTTTATGATGCTTTCCCTCCCCTTTTTGGGCAGGGTCAGAGGAGTACATTTGGATACGCTGGATTTTTGGATGGTTTGAATTCTTCGTTTTCGACTCCTGCAAGGCTGGCCAGGAACCAGCTGTCCCTGTTGCATCTTGCCCAAATATCTGTCACTATATCTTAGAGTGGATAAACACATTCCCTGAATATGAATGCTCAACAATGGAATAGTTAACAGTGACATTTGAAGTTTAATAATTAGGCTTCAGATTTGACATCATAAAAATATGGGATCGTTCACAAGTCTCTGAGATACTGTTTTGTTTTTTAAAAAAGGGTAAGGGACAGACCTACTTATTGCTATGAACTGATGGTGATACAACATGTCCCTGTAAGGCACACATTTATGATTGCATTGTATCTATCATAAGGCAATGAAATGGAAAAATTTAAATTTCCGCATTAGAGTGGGTAATTATATGAGAGTGATTCCTATTACACTTTCCATCTGCTATCTGACTAGGCGTATCCTAGAGAACGTCAGATAGATTAGACAATAAGGTGGGGTAAGAAAAAAATACCTGGGGATAATACTGATTCTCATTTTTAATGGAGAAGAATGTGTAGAAAGGCTTTTTGAGCCACTTTCTCCCCTGATTTACGTCTTGTGCAATCTTGAAGTGTAAGCCAGACCAGAACTTGGCATTAATGTTTTAGCTAAATCTGAGGAGTCTTTCACGATAAAATAAATGATCATCAGCTTTACTTCTTATGAAGCACTGCTTGCCATAAATACACAATTCTGATCTCTCAGAATGGGTTATGCCCTTTTGAAAGAAGGGAAGTCCACTGAATTGCTAAATATTCTAAGTTTTACAGTCTAAGTTAGTATAAAGTGTATAGTTAGCAGCAGACTGGGTGGGTTCCTTTAATATCCATTCGGTGATTAGTATGCTAAGTCAACATAATGGAAAATGTAATTCGATAACCTCAAAATCAATTGCTAGAGGAATTGTGCTTCGGTTAGCAAAGACAGCATGGTACGCAGAAAACTGATTTACAATGTACACAGAAAGGTTGGTAGAATGGTTTAGTTTTCTGTAAATTGGAAACTAAATTCATTTATTCAGTAGGTGAAATTTTTTGTTTCATTCAGTTGTCAACACTGATATTTTTTTTCTGATGTGATCACCCCTAAGTACTTACATCATAATTGCTCTACCATGCATTGTTTCTGAGTATGAAAAAGTTATTCCATTTCATACTTGTTCTTTAAGGGAAAAAAGTTCTGCAAACAAGATAAGGAATCTATATCCCTATGCCTTTTTGTTTAGGGGCAGTGGGAAGTCCTCAACGTCAATTTTAAGAGCCAAGTTGATTAATAAACTAAGAGCAGCAGCAACCAGTATAGTTAAAGTTGTGAAATGGTTAATGTTCTGACCCCCTGTTTTTCAGTCTCTTACAACTTGCTGTAATTTTTCAAGTTTGGTCTGTACTTTAAGATGAATATTTGTTTAAACGTCCCAAAATAAGATTCAACTATTTTTGCTTATAAGTGGGGGGGAGGAAATCCTTGTTACTGGAAAAGTAAAAGAGAACCCTTGCAACCCTCTCTTGTACAATTGTAGTATCAAAATGGCGTGGGATATTAAACTGAAATTTGGCATGGAAATAGCTACCATTGACAGTGCACCTATGGGTGTTCTGCTGGAAAAGTTAGTTTTGATTTAACCAAATTACAAGCCTTTGAAAATTCTTTGTGTATGATGCAAAGAATATCTTGTGTGACTTTTCTTAAAACGCACTCTAGCAATATTCTGAGTAAGCTGGCTGCATTGTGTATTCATGTATGGCTAACTTTAAAATTACATTTTTTTTTCTACAACCCAAGCTAGCGTCTTTTGATTGTGTATTCATCTGTGTATGCTGTATGAACTGAATCCATGAAAATCATTTATGTGAAACTTAGTTACATCCTGATTCTGTAAAGTCTTAGCCTGTGTAACTCTACTCATATGAGTAGTTCACTGAAAGAAGCAGTGTGACACATCATTCCACTTCGGTCTATATATGCAACCACCAATAGGATCATCTTTGATGCTCGTCAGGTGATGTGGTCAGAATCTATATGGGAATCCCTCTGTCTTCTATACCACATCAAGCTCAAGCTTCTTGCAATAGCCTTCGAAGCCCTAAACAGCCTTGACCCATCTCTCATGACATGAACCCACCTCCCCACCCCCTGTGATGTGTTGATACACAATTTGTCCATTTACCCAACAACAGTCTGTGCTTCTTCCATGGCACTCTCTATGCATGCAATGCAGTTTTCTGGGTTGGTTTGTAAAGTCACTAATGTCTCATTTAAATCCTTCCTGAAGACCTACTTTTCCCACAATGCCTATTTCATTATTTATCTTATGTATGAACTGCTAATTTATTTGAAGAGAGTGGCCTACAGACACTGGAGCTGAATCTAGAAATTACCATGACAAAAGATGTGGATTGAATTGTGGAGGGAGGAAAAGAGGGTAAGGGGTAAGGAGTTTATTGCCTTGTTTAATTTGAAAACAAATGTAAGTAGCAAGAGGTACCTGTCATCAGCCAGATTAGTTTGCTTGGGTATTGTTTCCCCCCTCCACACACTTCCTTTCATTGTCTTCTTAGAGTGGTGGATGCTCTTTGGAGCAGGGAACTCTATTTCCTCTGTGTTTGGAAAGTAGCTAGTGTATTTCATAGAATCATAGGAATGTAGGACTGAAAGGGACCTCAAGAAGTCATCATATCCAGTCCCTTGTGCTGAGGCAGGACCTTGTCCAACCTTTTCTTTAAAATGTCCAGTAATGGAGATTCCACTCCCTTAGCAGTCTAGTTCAGTGGTTAACTACCCTTATAGTTAGAAAGCATTTCCTAATATCTAACCTAAATCTCCCTTGCTGCAGATTAAGCCCATTAGTTGTCCAGTCTTCACTGGACATGGAGAACATTTGATCACTGTCCTCTTTATAACAACCCCGAAAGTATTTGAAGACTGTCATCAGGACCCCTCATCAAGATGTTATTCTTTTCTCAAGACTAAACATGCTCAGTTGTGTTTTTGTTTTTTTTTAAAAATCTTTCCCTATAGGTCAGATTTTCTAAACCTTTTATATTTTTGTTGTTCTCTTTTTAACTCTCCCCAGTTTGTCCACATGTTATGATTTGGCACCCAAAACTAGATACAGTACTCCAGCTGAGGCCTCACCAGTGCCAGATTGAATGGGACAGTCGCCTCCCATATCTTACATTTGACACTCCCATTAATCCAGAATCATATTAGCCTTTTTCACAACTGTGACTTTTTGGGCATTGCTGCAGTTGTGGAATATGTCTACACTGGGACCAGGGATCTGATTTGCAATTTGTATAGACTACTCACACTAGCTTTAATTTAGCTAGCTTATAAAAAATAGCAGTGAAAGCTCAGTGGCATGGGTGGCTCAAGTGAATATGTACCTACGGGGTTAGGTGGGCTTGAGCAGCCCAAGCAGAAGTCCACATTACCTCTTCCTTGCTACTATTTTTAGCAAGCTAGCTAGATTAAAGCCAGCACTGGTATGTCTACGAGAGTTGCAAATCACACCCCGATCTGCAGTGTAGATGTACCCTTCACAGTAGTCATTTTTGTCTGTTTTAAGGTTTGTCTGTGTTCAAAAGGATTTTAATGATACAAGCCCTGATCATGCTTCTATTGACTTCAGTGGGACCTAACAGCATGTCTGTCTGACTAACACTGCTTAGTGAAGAAATAACATAAAAAATATGTGATAGGCTTGTATACGGATATGCATTATGTTAGAGCCTGCAAGTGAGAACCCAGTTGTCAGAGGCACTGTGTAGATTTATAGGAAGATATCCCCTGCCCCAGTGAGCTTATACAAACTTAGTTTAAGAGGCAACAAATGGGTGAATTATGTGAGCATTCATAAACAACCCTGATTTGTGCCTCTTGCTAAGCCCAGACCATTGAATTCTCATGTGTGGATTTTTTGTTACATGCTTATAATAAG